GAAGCTCATGGGGCAGGTCAGGATAAGACAGATATATTGTATTTAAAGCTACAGAACTAGATGAAAAGGGAAAAAAAGACACAGTTCGTATCTCCAGAGAACTTCAGGCAAAAGAAGAGCCATGGTTTGGGAGCAAAAGAGAGAGGGAAAGCACAGTGATTTTGGAAGAAAACTGGAATAGAATGGTATCATTAAAGTAGAGAAAACCATATTTCAAGAAGGAGGGAGTAGTCAGGAGGGTGGAATGCTGCTGAGCGATCACCCCCATATCTTAAATCTCTCTTTTTTAAACCAGTGTTTTGTGCAGGACAGTTCTTCATTTTTCAGGACTGTCCATCCTATTGTAGGATTTAAAGCATCCTTGGCCTCTGAGTACTAAATGACAATGCCATACTGTAATCATTGTAACAACTCAAAATGTCTCCACCCTTTTCTAAAAGTCCCCTAGGGGCCCATACTATGACTACTTTTTTACTGTTTGTTCTTTAGTTCTAGTGACACACATTAGGAACTAAGTAAATATTACATGAGCGAATGAATGGATCCTTGCTATCAACTGAAAAGCATGCTTAAGTCTTTCTTATCCTAAAAAAAAAAACTCCCCTAAATCCTGCCTCCTTCTCAACAACTATGTCCTCTCTCCTCCTCTTCACTGCTAACCTTCCTCAAAGGACAATCTGTAGTTGCTGCCTTCTCTTCCTCACTTCTGATTCACTCCTCAGCTTTCTTCAATCCAGTGTTGGCCATACCACTGAGGCTACCCTTTTCCAAAGATCACCAAAGATTTCCTAACCGACAAATCTAAAAGTTCCTCCTGCATCCTAATCCTGTTTTACTTCTCTACAGCAGTATATACTATTATGGTTTCCCTCCCATCGCTGAATATCTTTCTCACTTCTTCCTTCATTCATCCTTCAAGTATTAGTATTTTCCAAGGTTAATATGTGAATTTCCTTGCACGGAGTCAGAAGTTTCTGCCAGTTACACCTCAAGGATTCAGATGTTTTAATGAAACCTCCTCCAAATGACATCATCAAAATGGAAAGTGACTGATTTTTATTACCAAGTAATATGTAAAAGACATCCTTCACCCATCCCTGACTTTAAACCCATCTCAAACTCTCTCACTTTCTCTCTCTCATTAAGGGGAATTTTATTTTCAACTTTACTGATTTGGGTATTGTTTAAAATTTAAAATATGTATTACTTTTATAATCAGAAATACATTGTCTATACAAGTAGATTAGCTTTTAAGGAGGTATTTGTTTCCCCTTCCCACCACCACCACTGTCATTATAAAGGAGTAATATGATATTAACTATAAATATATGTATATTACTGAGAAAACTATTAGAAATTTAATCGAAGGCTTATTGTGTTGCCTGGAGGTGATAATAAAGAATTGTATTACAGCTCAAATATCCTTCTCTCTGCCACATGGTCTGATATATAACCAATCAAACAAGGTTAATATAATCAGAAAGTCTAACACAACAAAGCAAAACAAAACAGGTGTCCATCCTCAAGAATTTTAAGTGGAAAAGAGAATCTGTTTCATTATCAAGCAGCCAAATCTATTTATTCATTAAAAGTAAATGAATATGACTATTTTATCCCTAAGAAAGAAATCAGGATTTGAGAAGCAGACCATTCAAGAAACAAGTGAATTATCAGAAGATGAGCATACACTTTTCTCAGAATGATTAATAACCCTCTCTGAGATAAATCTGCATGATGAACATGTGATTCCTGGTTGTGTCTGTTGGTCACTGACTTCTATTCCACTGGTGTCTCTTACTCACCAACAATTATCAGTGAGATTTAGGGGTGGGAGAAGGCTCATATTCTAGGGAGAAAGTAAAGAAGAAGAAAAAAAGAGTAAGTTTAATGACTTGTGTTATGATTTAAATATGGTTTTTCCCCACTAAATCTCATGTTGAGAGGTGGTGGAACCTTTAAGAGGCATTTGGATCATGAGGGATCTGCCCTCATAAAGGGATTAATGCAGATTCCTGAGAGTTAGTGACTTCTCAGCTGTCTCAGGACTGGATTAGTTACCGTGAGAGTGGGTCGTTATAAAGTGAGTTTGCCTCTCCTATTTTGCTCTTTTTCACTTGTGCCCAGTTCCCCTTCCATTTCTCAGCCATGTTTTGAGGCAGCACAAGGCCCTCACCAGAAGCAGCCATGTGTGGCTGCCCAATCTTGAACTTCCCAAGTTAGCAGAACCGTGAGCTAAACAAACCTCTTTTCTTTACAGATTACCCAGTCTTGGATATTCTGTTACAGTAACAGATAATGGACTAAGACAGTTTGTTCTTTTAGGTCACATCAGGATGTCCCCTGATATCTCTCAAAGCAGGACACTAAAATATTATGTATCCATTCTAGCTCAAAAAGAGTATCAAGCTACCGGCAGTCTGCTTTTCCCCTCTCCCAGAATAAACAATAGATCATTTAGCAGAATATCAATAACCTTGGCCCTATTCATTTTTGGATTTTAGGAATAGCTTGCTGTTCAACACCCATCGGCGAAAATGGGAATCTGCTGACCTATTTCCCCAATGAACCCATCTACTTCCTGCCATAAATAATCCTATGGAGGAGCCAAGCTATCTTCCTACATATCTTTGACATTTATAGTCCCTTTTCAAATAATCTCCAACTGATACCCAAGAGGTCCGGTACCTCAGTTAGTCCTGTTATCTGGGGTAGGCAGGTATCATTCTTTCCTACCTTGTTTCTATGACAGAGTTTTGACTTCCCCCATCATCTTTGTTTCTATCTCTAAAGCCATGCCGCAACCCCAACCTCACCTCACTGATCCAATTCCTCTTGGTTTTCAATACCTGGCCTAGAACTGGAATAAGAATTTACAGTGTTTCTGTTTGAACTCTGTCTCTGATTGTTGACCCCATCCCAAGAGTCGCCTATTCTGTCCCTAGTTAGCCCCATTCCTGCAAATTCCATTGCATCCCTCTCAACCCCCTCCCCAAACACACATGCACACACACCCACACCCACACCCACACACATGCACACGCACACAATTTAAAATCAGTTCTACTTCATTCCAAGCCTGATACGAAGCCAGCATTCTGTGGTGGTATATTCTAACCACCGAAAAAAAGCAAACACCATCAACTCTGAAAATCAACACCTGCAGTCCCTTTCTTTCTCTGGAGTTCCATATATATTTGTATTTCTAACAGTCTACTGGACATTTCCAACAAGATTTCCTACCAGCACTTCAAACTCAATGTAACCAAAACTTAATAGCTATCTCCTAGAACTTTATCTTCTTCCTTTTGCATTCCATACCCCATCCCCACAATGCACAAGCAAAACCACCCTTTGATTGCTTACTCTCATTGCAAAGTAATAGATGGTAATTGTAAAAAATATGGAAAATTCAGATGACAAAAAGAAACAAAAACTGTCTCTAAGTCTACCATTCAGAGATAAACACATTACATTCCCACATCTTGATTAATGCCATCACCATTCACCTAGTCACCCAAGCTAGAAATCTGACTCCTGTTTCTCCCTTACATACCACATTCGACGACTTTCCAAGTCCTATCAATACTACCTCCAAAATGTCTACTGAAGCCATTCTTTTCTCTCTATTCTCGCTGCCACAGTCCAGGCTCTTACTTCTCTCACTAGAACTAGTACAGTTGCCTGATTTTCCTGCTACCAGTCTCCCAAACTCAGACTTATATCCCACCATAATCACCAGCAAACTCAATCTTCACACTGCTACTAGAATTGTTCTAAAATATACATCCAATCATTTAACTCGCGTGCTTTAAAACACTTACTAACTTTACTGCCCAGATAATAAAGTCCAAATTTCATGGTGTCTTAGTCTGCTTGGGCTTCCATAACAAAATACCATTGACTGGGTGGCTTAAACAATAAAGAATTTTTTTTCACAGTTCTGGAGACTGGAAGTCTGAGCTCAGGGTGCCAGCATGGTTGGATTCTGGTGAAGGTCCTCTTCCTTTCTTGCAGATGGCTGCATTTTTGCTGTGTTCTCACATGGTGGAGAGAGAGTTAGCAAGCTCTCTGATGCCTCTTACAAGTTTGATAATCTCATCCTGGGGACTCCACCCTCATGAACTCATCTAAACCTAGTTACTTCCCACAGTCCTCATCTCTAAATTCCATCACATTGGGATTAGGGCTTCAGCATATGAATTTTGGGGGGGGGGGCACAATTCAGTCCATAGCACGTGGTATAACATCAAGGGCTTTTATAACTACCTCTAAGCCAGTTATTCTGTTTCATCTTCTATATTATTCCACATCAGTGCATTCTGGGTCTCCAAGAACATCACAAATAGTTTTCATCTACTTTCATAATGCTATGTCTTTGCTCATGCTAATCACTCTGCTTGGACAGCTTTTCAACCCTTTGCTGCCTGACAAACTATTATCTGTCCTTCAAATGTTCAGGTCAAAAGCCACTTCTATTGTGAAGTCAGTTTGGATTTCCTCTTCTTTTCACTCATGTCGCTTTGCATATACTTCCATCAAATTCAAATAGCCTGGGTTCAAATCTGCCAGATTCTAAATGTGTGACCTCGAGCAAGATACTTAACTTGTTTGTGATTTCATAACCTCATTTGTAAAATGGGGATAATAGTAGCATCTATTTCACAGGGTTGGTGTGGGAATTAATGAGATACTGTGTGTAAAGTTCTTGGCACATAATAAGCATTATATAAATAGTTTGCTATTATTATTATTATTATATACTATTAAGCGAAAACAATCAGGACAAAAACATTTATTCATAGAGTGTAAATGTGGGGAAATTACTCCACTATGGCACTCTGGTGACATTGTACTGTCCACATAAGTTGAAGGTTCAACTACAGTGTAACCCAGGACTTGGCAGAACATCCTGTGATCCTCTCGGAACACGGGAAGATAGGCAGTCTTGTGAAGAGCTGCCTCAGTGCTGTTATCTGCTTCTCTACCTTGAGGGAGGCTCCCTATCTTGTGGGAAGCTGTAATGAGGCAGTTTCTCATCCTACTCCCTAGATGCACTAAGGCACAGAACTTTCCACCTCTCTCTGTTTGGTTCCTGATGCAGACTGTAAAACAGCTAGCTGCAGTCTAGAGCTGGCTCTTTAGCAACAGAGTGCCCACTGCTCGTGTTGCCTGCCATCTTGCTCCTTTGTTTCGATGTCATCCTGTGGGTAAAGGGATATGAGGACCTGATACTATGCTGATCCTGCTCATGCTGCCTGGGTAAGCAATAAAATATATGCTTTTGGGGTCTTTGTTTCCTTATTGGATGAACCTACGAAAGTCTAGCAAGCCCACCTAGTAGCTGCTACTACACTGCTGCTTTATGTCTTAACAGTAATCTCCTTGAGAGAAGAAGAACCTTGTTTATTTTGTTCAATACTGTATATCCAGTATTTGGCTCATAATATCTGTCATATAATAAGTGCTCAATAAGTATTTGTCAATTAAAAAAATTATGGCAAACAATGATTTTCAAAGATATATAGTCAAGGTTATATATCAAACCCATTAGAGTGGGAGCCTTGTCGGGAGGGATGGAGAATATTGATAGAGGACAAAAGGGAAAATAAAATAAAACAAGGTAAAGGATTTCTACTCATGAGGTTTAAAGAAAAGCACATATGTTACCTAGAAGGAAGCCCGCTATCTCTCTTACTATTCTTCTATTAATTTATGAGTATTTGATACCTTGTAAGCCTGACCTTAGTTTCTCAATTGTAATATAAGGAGAAGAGACTAGACCAGCATATTTCAAATTGTGTTCCAAGGAGCCCCAGCCAATCTCCTAAGAGGTGTCTCAGGGGTGGTAGTACCTTTTTAATCAAGGCAGTGGCATTTTATGTGTTTTATATGTTGGGTTTTCTCATAAAATTTTATTTGAAGAAAAGGTTTTGCAGCTAAAAACAAAACAAAACAAACCTGTAAACCGCTGGTTTAGCTCTAGCTCTAAAATACATAAATATAGATCAAGCCAAGGGAAACTTGGTAGCTACAAATCCTGGAGCAAAGCAGCAGAGGATAACAATAGAGCAGGCAGAATTTGGGTATTGGGGCTCTGTAGTTAGGGGTTAGAAGGAAGGTTTGCTAAAGACATAAATATTCCTGTTTCAGAATTTTGTTTAGGACCATCACTTTGATTTAGAATTCATAAATCTTGCATTTTTATTTGGGGGCTGAGGAGGGTAAAGGAAAGGGTGGTCCTTGTGAATTTTCAAGCCCCAAATCACTCCTTGTACTTAAACAGATTGTACTCCTATTACCTTCCTCAGCTTAAGTAAGAGTTTTCTTCTTGAAGTCTCTGAACTGGATTGTTATATACAGACCAGATCTAGGACCCAAATAACATATTTAGCCAATTCCAAGGTACAATTTCCCCTACTTTTTAATGTTTCTGATATTGGATGCATCACACAATCAATGAGTACATTTAATGTGGTAGTGCACCTATTTTTCCTCTGAAGCATTGTTATTAAATAAATGGCACATTTACAATCTGGTGATGTCTTAGATTCAAGAAAATACTATATTATCAACAGGAATAATAAGCACATAAATTTGAGCAAGAAATACTTGAGATGGGGTCAACAACCTTTTTACTCTGAGTCTTACCAGTGGGCTTAAGCAACGATGGTGGATGTCATCATTAATTCAAGGGTACTTCAAAAAGGTCGTGGAAAGATAGAATTAAAAGATAACACAAGTATTTCCATGAACTTCTTGAAGTACACTCATATGCCTACAGGATAAAATTCAAGCAATAAATTGGGGCTTTCAAAATTTTTTTTGAGAGTCAGCTTACCAGTATATCATTGCCCAAACTTATTCTTTATTCTTGTTATACTCGCTGCTTACTCAAATATGCCATGCTGTTTCATGCCTGGATACCTTTCATGTTCTCTTACCTCTGCTGGGAATGCCCTTCTTCAAATGTTGTCCACTGTAGAAATCCTATCCACCCAGAGTTGATTCTATCCTGCTTTATATCAGCATGTATCTGATATATGCCTCTAAATATGTACTCACCATACTGAATTGCGATGATTTGTTTAGGTGTCTATCTCCTTTACTGTGAATTCCTTGAGGATAGTTGACTATCTTTGTATCTCTAGTACTTAGGACAATGCCTGGTATGTAGTAGCATTCACTAAGTATATGAAGTATGAATAAATGAAGAAACTAAGAGAAGGAAAGAGAAAGAAAAGAAAGAGAAAAAAGGACAGTATACAAGTGGTAAACTGCCATAGCACCAACAAATGTTTTCTTTGCTGCTGCCATTCGGTGGTGTCCATGCCTTATCAAAACCTTCTGAAGTCGCAGTAGGCATACAATTATCTACACTGAGTTTAATTGTTGATAATAAAATTAGTTCATTTATGTTAGTTTTCTCTCCCCAGTCAATTATAAATTCATTTGGGGAAGGATCAAGTCTTCTTCTGTATATATTTATTGAGTTTTTGATAAACTGTATATTCCTATTTTGAGGTGTGATTTAGTTTCTAATATTCTTCGTTCAGGATACTTTTATTATTAAAACTGGTAGCAATTTGCATAAGGGAAATGGAAAGGCTCACAACAATTTTATTTATTTAGAGCCCAGAATTTCTCCAGAGTTTAAAGCAATCCCCAATACTAGACATCAAAAAGGTAATTTTACAGTAATTTAAGAGAGAGGAATTTAAATATTGCTGGTAAACCCTGGGAGCTAATTACTTCAAGATCCCTTCAAACCTTAACTCATTAGAGTTTGAAAAGTCTCCTGAGGTACTTAAAGTCACTATTCCCATTATGTTACTTGATTCAATTGAATGCTTTGGATTTTGCTAATAAGAGAAAATCTGAAGTTCATGCAAAAGAGAGATTCCATTTATCATTTGCTTAAGGAACAAATATTAAGCATGTCCTATGGGCACCTCAGTATTCTATGATGTATTATAAGAAAGGAGGGAAAAAGATAGAAGCATAGCTCCAGATCTCAAATAATAAATTTTTAACACCAGAATTACTTGTGTATGTTGCCAAAATGAGTCAAATTTCACACTCTAGGTTAGCCTCAGACTTTTCAACAAGATCATTATGAGGATCAAATAAGCAAAAGTAAGGTGGTATCATTGATATGGTTTGGTATTGCTATTGTTATGATATAGAAACATTGACCTGGCATGGATGCTCTCCAACATGCATCTGAATGAAGGTGTCATTCAGATGAGGGACTAAGTAACATTTTAGACATCTTAGTATTTTAAATCAGAAGTTCAGATCCAAAAATTAGGAAGAAAATTTCTTTTTAAATCCCCTATTGCAAGCTGAGTAGTTACGAGAAATAAAGAAATAAGAAATAAGACAGATTCAAGGAAGGAAATATTTCATTCTGATTGCCTGTCTGGTTATTAACTCATCAGAAGTTAATGAACAATCCGATGGCATGCATGGGACAGAACTAGGATGAGAGAAGATTCAGTCTAATTGCATTGGGCCGTTTTATAGGACTATAAATAGTGTTGTGTCATATTATGTTCATTTGTAAGTCTTATTCAACATGTATAAACTTTATTTTGTACACGTTACCAATTTTAAACTGTCTATCCCATTATCCCCCTAGTACCCAAAAAATAGCAAGCACTATTTTTAAAGAGTTTACAGCCTTGCCCACAATATTACTGTACAGTCAGTCAATTTAACTCTAACAAGTCATACAGAAAATAGGGAAGGGGAGGAGAAATTTACCACTAGCTCCTGACAACATGCTGTTGAAGAGTCTTTTCTTGTCAATCCTAAGAATATATCCTCAGTTCCCACCTGCTGCTTGAACATAATCTCATATCTGAAAAAAAGTCAATGATAATACAGACTCAAATGAAAGAGCAATTTCCTGTCATGGAGCAGAAAACTAGAAACTTATGAGGACGTGCTATTACAAAAAATAAAAGGACTAAATAAATAAAATGCTTGCAGTTTTTCTGGCATGTGGTAGAACATAAAAAAAGAAAAAAGATGTACAGAAATTCACTCAAAAATACCAAACATTGCAAAGCAGGATTATTATTTTATATAAAGCCTAAGTGCTTTAAAGCTACACAGATCAAATGAATTGAGGCAACTTCTAATAATATTCTAATAAGATTAAAAGTAGAAAATAAAAAGGAAGGTTCTTTCCTGGAAAACAATGGCTCAGAAAATTACTCAGGGTTTGATGGATAGATTAGAAACCCTCTGCTAAGTTTAAACCACAGAGTAGACTTAGAAAATCCAGGTTTAGTACTGTTTCTGTCATTAACCCTGTGACCTTGGTCAAGTCACAAACTCATGGGTCTGGGTCTCAGTTTCTACATCTGAATGATTTATAAGAGGGGTGGGTTTGAACTAAATGATCTCAATGGTCTTTTCCACCTCTAAAATTCTATGATAGAAACACTGGTGATGCAGTCAGCACAGCTACACTACAGTGTTTAGAATATGGTCCTACAGAATTCTTAGTTCAATCAAAGATTTTCCTGGTATTCTATACCACACATGACAATTTATGAATCTTTTCTTTCTCTCAAATTTAAGCTCCTGGAAATAGAATGTTTATAGAAGCACCCAGCCGTAAGGTACCCTTTATCTCTTCAGATGGAATGAAACAAACATTTACAGGTTATTTTTTCTGTTTAATTCTACCCTAATGAAGAAATGGTAAATCCTAGATTGAACTTCCGACCATTTGCAAATAGGAATGCCCAAGAATGAAAAAGGGATTTCTCTGATGCTGAACAGACTAACAATAAATAGCTATTTGATATGGGGCATTTTTCTCTTAATAGGCTATAACATCTACCAAGTATTTACAAAAGTGAAGACAGGTTAAAACAGAACGGAAGGGATCAATCCATATGCTCGTGACTCCCAAATGGATTTGCTCAAGCTCCTGCTCTTATCCTGAGCTCCAGAGGCAATTTTCCAACTGCCTGCTGTATAGGTTCCTTCAAAACTCTCAGTTAAAAACCCTCCATACTTATCCCCAAGGCCAGTGCCTTAGCTCAGGCCCTTTTTATTTTTTATTTGGCCACTTGTTTTTCTTATTTTGTGAACTGCCTGTTCATGTTCTTTACTCATTTTCCCTTTTACCCATTGGGACGTTATTATTATTTTTTTTAAGGAGGGACATTTTGAAATGTATTTTCATAAGGCAGAAAATAAAGTTAAAAAATTCTTTAAAGCAATTTTCCTCATATCTTGACTGGAATTATTATTCATTTAAAGCTTTCATGGATGTTCTATTTACAGAACATAAAGCATCAGGATGAAAAGTGAAAATTTACTCAGATTTAGAGCTTGCATATGGATGTTTGACATTTGTTAGACAATATGACAATGAGTGACTTAATTCTTACCTTTCATATGGATGTGTGGGAACTATATAAACATAACCTGAGATTTACTCCCTCATTCTTAAGATGTAGATAGAAATGTTGTTTTAAAATCTTCTTTGATTGTTTTAATGAGGTTTAGGGTTTGTCGACATTGTTTATTTGAAAGCTGGATACTTTTTTCCAGTTAATTATCTGCAGTCTCCCCCTGCCTCTATTTTCAGAACTGACGTATATCATAGAAGCATAGGGTTTTTTTTTTCTTTTTCTTTTTTTAAAGTATTGGACAGATTTGTAGTCAGAATTAGGAAAGTTGTCAAATCACTTGCCATAGAAATATTTAAGAATTTTTAAAGTACTTTATAATTTAGTAAATATTAGCTTTGTTTTTCCAGCTATTCTAAATATTTAATCGTATTTTTAAAGACATACGTTTAAAGCTTAGTCTATTTAACCATCAATTTAATTTATTATTAAATCATATTTTAAGTTCCTTAGAAGTATGAGTGTTTTTTATCAGAATGAAAGGCTTTATATGATAATTATTCTAAATTTCATATTTACAATTCGATGATATTGAAAAAACTACAAAAAAGGCTTGAATCCTGCTTGCAAAATATGCTGAGTGCTAAGTATAATCCTGAAATATTTAGTAAATAAGTCTAGGTAATAATTTATTATTGGAGGGAGAACATAGCCTTTTACCAAAATTATAGAACATTGAGTAATTAAAAGCAGGTCTTTGACACATAAACATGGTATTATTATTTAGTTCATATGAATACTTGCAATTTAACAGGCTGGTTTTCTCCCACTGTTAGTTTCACATTATACAACAAACTGACATTAAATATAAATTTGTAATGGAAATGACTGTATTTTTCATTTTTGCTAGATAACTGAAAGGAAGGTGTTATGTTTTATCATTTGTTTCTGCTGTAGAAGGAAAAGAACCATCAATTATACATGCCTTCTGTGTGTTACTGTAGTTTTATCTTTTATGTGGTGCAAGTAACTTTATGAAACTTGTCAAAAATAGAATTATATCAGATGACACATCTAACTTAAACCCTGAACACATTCCTGGCTTCATTTGACTTACTCGGGGATTTCTCTAATGTCCCATATGTCATCCTGCTCTGCTCCTTCTGGAACCTCTTCTGGATTCCAGATGTCCTCGCTATTTTGATGACTGGTTTGAGGGACGACTGTGAAGAAAAGGAAGATAAAGCTGAAGCTGTTGTTTGTTTTCTGCCTCTAGATTGCTCCTGTTTTTCACACTCAGTTTGGGATAACTGAAGTAAAACACTTTATTTGTAATCACTAGCTTGTTTGTCGGTTGAAACAAGCTAAATTAGTAACAACCGACTTTAAATATTTTTATCAATACAGAATCAATACATTGTAGAATTGTAATAAAAATTGTAAAAAAAAATTGAAAAAAGAAAACCACATAAGCAAAACTAAGAAAATAAAATAACCTACAATCCAACTGTGTGAAGGTAATCAATGTTAGCATTCTGGTATATAACTTCCCAGTGTCAGTCTGTCTATCTGTCTCTTCTTTCCCTCTTCCTCTCTCTCATATATAAATATATGCAAAGAAATATTACACGTTTTTTTCAGAAACACAAATAGAATCATATGTAAATTTTTTTTTGTATAAAAGAGCAAGTCAAACATACAAACAATATGATTTGGATAGAAATGTCTTACCTTGCATTGAGTTTTACAATATAAAAACCCTTTGATACCTTTCCATGTAAGGATATAATTTGTAAAAATAATATCAAAGAATCTGAAAGCAGTGGATACAATGATCATTTTTTTTTTTTTTTTTTTTCTTTTGACTTTTTCCATGTCCGGCAACGGATCGCAACCCTCAGTGTTGCCCCCGTACCGGACCGGGGACCGGCAACGGGATCGCAACCCTCGGCGCTGCTCCCGCGCCTCGCTCAGCCAGTGAGCAGGAACCGGTCCGCATGTGGGATCCGAACCCTCGGGCGGGAGCGCCGCCGCTCTTCCCAAGCGGCGCACTATCCAGTGCGCCACCGGGCCGGCCCACAATGACCATTTTTTAATCCAGTATTTTCCTCATGTAGACACGAGCTTTAAAGAAAATCTCTATCACTTGTCCTTTAATAAGAACTGAGCATGTGCTTGGGTTTCTACGTGTCATCTTTGAATGTTTGAAAGTAGATAGGCTCCAGCAGGCATGTGAAAACCCAGCTTACATTTGTTCTAACCTTTGTGGCATCAAATGGAGACCTGGATTAGGTGCAGAACATTACTTTGAGTCTTTTTCAGTATTCCTAGAAATGCACCTAATTGTTAGGTTTTCAATTCTGCCAATTCTTTTGAAATCTAACATGGGCTTTGTAAAGCCTTACTACAGATTTATATATAATATTTTACAAATGACTCATTGTCCTCAAAATTTAGAGATTATTAGATCTACATTATCAGAAATACAGGCAGCACAGACATCCCAGTTTGAACTAGTCTGCCATGGAGTGAATATCTCTCAAGTAAGGCAAATAGCCTCTTGAGTATATGCAGCAATAATAATTGAAATTTTAAAACCATCCTCAGACCTCATTTTAGTCATCATTTTAAACATTTTTCCAGATAAAATCTTTCACAATTAGTTGAATTGATGAACAAAAATTACCTCTTCTCCCTGCCCTTCCTCTGGTAACTATGATCAAGATCAACAGAATTAGAGCCTTCTATATTTTTAAAGATTTGTAAAATGTTCAACTCTGTGGAAATGTATAGACCAAAATGCTGGGAAAACATTAAAAATTATTTATTCTGGTTTACTGGGCCTGTGATTTTATAAGTAACCCCATGAATTTTAATTTATAAGCTTTTCAATATAAGATTAAATTGTGTAGTTATTTGTTTTATTGTCTTCTCCAAAAGTCTATTAGCTCAGACAGGGCAGGCACTCTTTCTATTTTGATCGCCACTGTAGTCTCAGAGATGATCATACTGCTTGGTATCTAACAGGCTGTCAATGAATATTTATTGTATGAGCTAATGAATGAATTCTGTGAAATTGCCAGAATATAGGAAAGTCGAAGGTAAAGAAGCAAGCATCTTGATAACTAGATCCTAAAAAATGAAGAGTTATCTAATCACATGTGACTTTCTTTTCCATTCCAGGAAATATACTGAAGAATGTATAATACAAGGCAAATTAATTCCCATTATTAGAAAAATTATTTAGCTGCAGCAGAGGAGTAAAAACAGCATCTTTGTATGTAAATGGCTGTTCATCATTTCCACGATTATTTTGGTTCATATTTTTTTCATTTTTTAAAGTTATTTTTTAATTGACAGATAAAAATTGTATATACTTATGGTGTACAACATGATGCTTTTTCACATATACCTTGTGGAATGGCTAAATCAAGCTAATTTACATAAATATTATTTCACATGCTTATCATTTGTCTGTGGAGAGAACACTTAAAATCTACTCTCTTAGTGATTTTCAGGTATACAGTACATTGTTATTTAGTTCTTCTTAATGAGTACTAGAATTAGTATTACTCTGCCTATAATTTTGCTACCAAGGAAAAGATTATATTGATTGTATTGATCTATACTGCTTTATTAAATAACTTGCCTTTGAGCTCTTCTGTTTTTGGTGGTCCAATATTCCCAGGACCCATGGCTCCAATAGTAGATGAACAATGTGACTGGGGGAGAAGAAAATAAGTTCAACATTCTGTAATTACTACTTGTATAACCTATATGGCTAGTAATACTTTAAATATGATAAACTTTCCATCTAAAAAACTCATAGAGCTTTCTAGTTTAATTACCCATCATTGTTGTACAACAGAGAGACAAATGTCAAGTATTATTTTGAATGTGCTTTTCTTGTCCTTTCAAAAAGTATTCGTTTTAATAGACTCTAGGGCAGAATTGATCTTTGGTGAAACTAAATCCCCAGTTCCAGCTCACTGAATCATGTACTGCTGAGGATAAGGGAATGAACCACATTCATTTCTATGAAGATTAGAACCAAGTGCTAGTATAACAGCATCCACACTTTTGGGTTTTGGCAGTGTCTGGTAGTTGGATGGGGGATAGAGGTATGGGAAAGTTTTATAGAAATAAAAGTATTTGGAATTCAAATGATCCATTCAAAAGCCCCGATAACCACTTTTACTTCTTTCCACTATAGGTCTGAAACACTTTCCCACACTACCACCTCATGACATTGAACTAGTGGATTTAAATAGCAACTCCAAATTAATAGTGTCAAATACATGCTGAACCACTCCGGTCTTCACACAAGTACAAGTTTATTTTGCCATCTTCTGTGCAAGCATGCACAGCCCCATAGGACTGCCCCTGACTCGCTGTACAAGAGCAATCTTCATTTTTTCAATAAGTGTAACACATATTACATACACCATTAGTATAATGGCAACGACCTCATTGGCCCCTCTCAGGGATTTTTTGATATTTTAAGAAAATCCCAATTTCTTAGTAATTGTTCTTGCTAATGTCAGACTCTGTAGCCCCAATTCACTCTATTGCTAGCAGTCAAAAAATTCTTGTTTCCTTGGATCCTGGCAAACTAGTACCTCTACCTAACCTTTCTCAGGCCCCTGCCCTTATCTTTTAAGACTTCAGACACATATAAAAGTTAGACTATACTGTTTGAGCAAGGGGAGTACTGTCTGCCCTTGAAAGCTGGTGGAAAGCTCACCTGGGTCTTTATTATGCTAAACTATTCCAATAGTTATAAATCAGAAATTAATCTATCACGTCTCAACAGTGCTGAGATAGTAACCACTCCTTTCCAAAAAGGAGTTTCAAAAGTGCTATGTCTGTGGTTAAGGTGTTACAGGCATTTTTATGTGAAAGTCCCAAGACAGTATTCTGGACACCTTTTTTTCTCTTTTTAATCACTAAGGTCATATAAGTGTGTAGTACTTTTCTTAAATTGTTAATCATCAGAATATTAATAATCAATCAGGGTAAAGCATTTCTCGGAACATGAGGGCCCCTCATTTTGTTGAGTGCCTCCTTCCATGGAAAATTAAAATCAGTAAAAATAAAACCTTGAACATTCCTGACAAAAATTGGTATGCTCCCCATGGACAATGAGATTGGATCAGCATATCAGAACAGAGGGGAGTTTCAATTTATTAACTTAATGAAAATATATGATTAAAAACAAGATTTTCAAGTGAAAAGATGGAATGGGATAATGAAAACATTAAAAACCATCTGGCAATTGTTTTCTATAAGAACATCATTTGAGCTTTTACCATGAATCTATAGCCAATTATCTGAGCGATTTATCATTGCAATTCATGCCACTTTGCAATATGTAAGAGAGTTAGAACATCCTTCTTACAATGTCTATGAAGAGTGGTGAGCCTTATTTCCCACAGGCCTTAAGATTCCCTCATGAGTTTGAAAAACAACAGACACACTCTTTCCCATTCTCCCAGATTCTTAATTCATGTAGAAGAGGGATAGTGTAAATGAACCAATGTGTATGCAACAGTTCTCTTGCTCTTTTCAGAGAGTGTTTTCAAAAACACATCACTCTTGTAATCATTTCACAGTTCCCAAGATTAATACATGTTAAAAATGAGAAGCAGTTTCTTTCCCAGAAAATTTAATAGTTTATTAGAAACATTAATTATTCTCCCACTGTTCTGATACTCCAATTCCATACCCTCTAATGATATCTGTACTGTGGTGTCTGAATGACCAATTATCTCAAAATTGCTTATAAACCAGATACATAGAATCAAATATTATTACAGTAATTTTCACTTGTTAATTGTACAACTCAGTTAAATGGTGTTAGCCTCTTTGTTCTCATAAGCACTCATCTTTCCTGCTAGAAACACCTCTAGATGCAAATAAACATCTCCAGACATAAATGCCAAAGGGAACAAGATTTGTAACTGGGTTAAGTCTTCTTAATAATTTTTTTTTGCCTGGTAAGGGGGTCGCAACCCTCGGCTCGGTGTCATCTGCACCACGCTCAGCCCATGAGCACACCGGCCATCCCTATATAGGATCCGAACCCGCGGCCTCGGCGCTACAGCACCGCACTCTCCCTAGTGAGCCACGGGGCCGGCCCAAGTCTTTATTTCTGAATCTGTTCCAGTCACAAGTTCCAGTTCATTTTATTAAAGATCACTGTTTTCTCAAATACTTAATATACTTTTTCCACAAGGAATGACCCTACCTTTTCCAGGATGTAGGCTCCAGAAAAATATCACTCTACTATTTCAACTAAGGTAGCAAAACTGAGCTTGTCTTCCCAACTTCATTGATATATTGCTCCTAACTTTTTCTCCTGTGTCCTATTTGTTGTATATATTCTTCAGTGCTCTTATCAAGTCCTGATTTTTCTTTATTTATTTGGCCTCTACTAAGATTTTTCCCTGACTAAAACTTCCTGATTTCTGATCCTGGCTCCAAGCTGACTCAGTTCTCCTCTTCTACAAATTTTATTTCCATTTCACTTTATTTAATCCAGCCCTGTTCCACTCAAGTTCTTCCTGGAAGGTGGAAGCTCAATCCAGTGTCAACCTGAGCCACTGAATTTACCGCCTATTTAGAATATGCTTGTTTTTCCACATTGTGTCCCCCCCAAAAAAAAAATTGGAGGGAGGGGTAAGATTATGTTCATGGAAGATTATTTTTTCATGGTAAACTGGTCATAAAAATAAAACACATTATTAAAATAATTCTACACCAATTGATATATTGTTATAGTATGAGATTTCTGCCCCAGATTTTCTTTCTAATCATAAGCAGCATGATAACCAAGGTTCACTGATATTTAAGGAGTAGGACAATGGAGAGCAGGGGTTATATAAAAGTGCTTCAGTTATTCTGGGAACAATGGCAGTGACCTTAGAATGGCCAAAGGTTGGTTCATGGAACTTTTCTACCCAAAATGAAGCCCATCTTGCTGCTGCAAGCCTCCCTGGCATTACCTGTCCTGACCCCAAATGCTACTCAACTAGTTAAACTCCACAGCTGTATTTGAGCATGTACTGAGAAGCCAATTTTAGTAGACTGAAGCTAATTTGTCATATCATTTGGCTCAAAATATTTTCTGTTCTGCTTTCATGTGTATACAAATTTTAAAAATTAAGGGACTGGTACCTGGCGGGGGGCAATTAATACTGTATAATTGAAACTGTTTGTTTTATGGAAATATCATCGAGGCTTAAACAGTCCTAGCTATCACTCTTTACAATGGTTGTCAAGCATTCTTGGCCATAAATATAAATGACAAACATTTTGAAATGTTGCTATTGCTACCATAGTTACAGAACTATTTTCCTATTCAGTGTTCAGGTGGTTTAGAAGAAATGTAATTATGTTTGCTAGAAATGTACTAAAGGTTATACTCTCATGCATAATCAACCCTGCAGTCTCCTGTGAATGTATCAAATGACACAGCCCTGCTGCCACAGCAAGGTGGGAACAATTTGTTCAAATACATTTCTGCAACTTCCCATGTAAGAAGTAATGCATCTACAAGTATATAACCACCTGTTCAAGGTCAAAATCGTCCTCTTCATCAGGATTAAGCATCCTAGAGAGGGCTTGCAGAACAGAGACTGAAGAAATAGTCTCGGTTTCCATCTTTTCCATTTCTGTATTTTCAGATTCCATCTTTTCCATTTCTGTATTTTCAGATTCCATATTTTCCATTTCTGTATTTTCAGATTCCATATTTTCCATTTCTGTATTTTCAGATTCCATGTTCTGAGGAAGAAGATATTAGAAAAAGGTATTTTACTTTTTTATTGTTATATCTCTCTACTTTCCCTGGGTCACTTATTCTTTCCTATTGTTTCTTCCTTGAATATCATTGTAAATTCCTTCATGTATATGTATTTCGCTAACTCACAGACCTGGGACAGCAAGCAAACTCAAGCATTCAGCCTGCTTTACTAAAACTTCATACTCAAACTAACAAGTGTTTGTTGAGCACCTATTAACAGTGGTTCTTGGGTTTTAGTATGCTTAAGAATCATTCAGGGATTGTTAAACTGTACCTCTGGAGAAAGTGTATGTCAGTGTCAGATAGATTACATGTCACTATTTGGGAATTTATTTTTTGACTATCTTTTTATCTTTCTCATGTGTGCTGTTGAGGCTGTATATTCCATTTAGTGAAAGATGTCACCTGGGGGTTATGCCCCAACGACATTTACTCATTTCATACTTTGACCTCAGGTAGGCCTGTGCCTTCTGTTTTATTTCAATTCTTAATTAACCCTTGATAATGCCTAGAATTATATTGCCATTTGAGAACTCTAATGGGTTGGCCCATTGACTTTAGTGAAAGTTTACACACAGTAAAATAATTGTCTTTCTGATTATAACAGTGGTACTATATATGTCTATTGTGGACATTTTAAGAAATAATACATTAAAAGTCTAAATAAGAAAATCACAACTACCTATAATCTACTATCCAGACATCAGTCTTTTAAATAATCTCTGCCATTATATATTCGGAGTAGGAAGTTCAGGATCTTTAAAAATCTTGGAGGTATCAGACTTTAATGAATAACTTTAATAAAGACTGTAGAATTAGGCTTATTGTTAGTGATTTGGGCATAAATATAATAGGAATCTTTTCTAAACTTCTGCTGATATTTTTTAAACATTATTATATAAAATTAACTCACAGGAAACATTTCTTTAGTGCTTTTATTAAATGATCCACACAATTTTTTGCCTTGTGTCTAGAACAATAATACAAAGGGATTCTCAAATGTATGCTGGTAGAGTTACCTGTCAAAATCAATCTGCATGCAGATGGTGTTTCACAAATCTTCTGTCTTATGATTGTTTTACCATTTTTTTCATTTTGAAATGTTTTCCCTGTTTATTTTATATTTGCCAAATTACAAAATCAATATATGTTGTTAATAAGTAAAACAATGCAAAGATATATAAATTAAACAACTACTTATATTGTCCGTATCCACCAAAGTAACCAATATTAACACTATGGTGGACATCCTTACACACTTTTCTCTTTGTTCATGTAAACACACACATGCATATGTACACAATAGGGGTTTTAATTTTTTAAAAAAACAGAATCATATGCATTATTATGCAATTGGCCCTTTTCACTTAACAATATACCACGAACATCCCCACAAATTAGTAGAATTCTAGCTTCCCCCTACCCCCACCCAAATTTCTTTACTTACTCGCACATTTAAGATATACTTGGTTCAGTTATGTATTTTTCTTTTTGGCTTTCCCTTGTTTTACTATTATTTTGACTTTCTTTTTAAAATAAAGAACTAATCTTAATATCTAGTGAAGATGTCAAGGGTATGAAAGAAATATTAAATTTCCCTGTAAGGGTACATTATTTAAATTCTCTATACCTAACTTTCTTTATCTGTAAAATGGGGATAATAACAGTGTCTGTCTCTTAGGGCTGTTACAAGTATTAAGTAGCTTAATACTCGTAAAGGAGCTTAGAACAGTGCCTGGCATATAGTAACTACTCAACATATGTTAGCTATTATTAGTTCTTTAAACATTTAATTTTGGTAGGCATGAATATCACTTCTAATAATGATGCACAATAAGTTAATGATAAAACTCTTTACATTGGAACCTCATTAAATTGGGAAAGGTGAAATAAAAGGTGGTAAAACAATCTTCTCTCACAGTATGGTCTGGTAGTCTGCTATGGAAATGAATAATTGACACACATTATATTAAACAAAGAGGCTCCTGTTTATATTTTAAAATTCCTAGATGATTATATGTTCATTAAATATTTACCTAACATTAAAAGCAAAAAGTTTATTGAAACATTTTCTGCCATTGACAATGAAAGGAAAAAATACATCCAGATATCAGATGCAGTGATATCATTAATGTTTTGAGTGGAGATTGTACAAGCAATGTGACTTTAAAAAACAAATATGGCAGAAATTGTTTATTACACCAGCATTATGTACTTTACAAAATTGTTGTGATGGTCAAATTATGTAACGTAGGTGAAAGAGTTTGTTAAAATATGAAAATCTACATAAAAATATCATTATTATCTGGCACATGTTGCCAGTACCCACAGATACATGATCATGAGGCTTGGTGAGAGCTCAAAGGTGGGCTGGTGAGAAGAGAATAAAGTGGGACCCGTAAAGCTAACCCATAAGAATGGTATTCAGAAGTCCCAAATATAGTGTCTGAGGTAGCAGTCAGAATTGCTCCTCATGTGGTCTCATCTACTTGGAAGGGACATGGCAGCAGGAGTTTCTGGACATGAGCTGTGCTTCAGGGCAGAAGGTTGAATAGTCGTGGTTACAGGGAGGCCTATTTAGGGGGAGGTAGGGTCCTGGCCCATAGGTGAAAGTATAGGATGTTGGGTCCAGTACCTGTGAATTGTAGGGGAGTTGGCAGCTAGATGAGGGTTCAGAATAGATAGGGCAGGGCTCAAGGTCCCAGCTGGAAAAGAGACAACCAGCCAGGCACTGGATCAGTGGCTTTCTTTTGTCACTGGTCACCACAGTGGAGGTTTTTGAAGGAAGGTTGTGGTTCAGTAGGTACACTGGATACTAGATGTAGGGAAAGCAGATTAATTCTAAATCCGTACCAGTTAGGTGGGAAAACACTCTGGCCTGATTCTCATTAGGTGAGGGGCAGGGCAGTGTGGGCAGTGGGAAGCTATACCTGTAGACTGAATATCTTCAATAACTGGAACTAGCACATACTCAAGCAGTTGGTGAATGCTGAATAAAGCATGATTAAATTCATGTGAATATTGTATTCCAAAATAGTCACCTTGGAAGGCCATACACTGATGTAAATCATGCTATCAATGCTCAAAATATTTTGGAATTTTTATTTTCATTTGAAATTGCCTTCATATATCACCAAGAAAATAGGTATCATTATGGTATCATTTAGTTTGATTACACATCAGACTCATTTCCAAGTGGTTTCTAGATATATCTAGATATCATATCTACTTTCAAAACATGAAAATTTGCTTCTTTGAAGATATTCAAAGGAATGTACTACAGACCTCAAGGTGATTCTAAAAAGGTAGTTTCAAAAATAACTATTTGAGCAATAGCAACATCATTAGAATAAGTGGATTAATTTCTCAAAGTGACTACTTTGAAGAGGAAGCCACTCCTTGGCATGTATAAGTTTGTGTTTATTAAATGAATCATTTGCAATAATTCTTAACACTTTATATATCTGAAGCATATTAGAAATTGGACTTAAGGTCAAATTATACTTCCAAATTATGCTGGCATAAAATGGCACAGATTTGAACTATAGCTAAATTGGAGTAGAAACATGATAATAAAATTAGCACTTTAGCAACAATAATTTTTACCATATCATATGTAATAATGATCTTCTGTAAACACAAAATAATAAATCATGACAAGTTTGTTGATATTGTATTTTGAAAACAAAAGAATCAAAATATTTTGTGAATAAATAATTAAATAGTTCAAAGTCTCAAAAGAGAAAAACAATTACATGAATTTTTGGAAAAAGATTCTAAATTTAATGGAAATGAAGATTCTACTAGTTTTTTTAGAAGTCTAACAAATTAAAATCATTTATTTATTTATTTATTTATTATTATTTTTTTTTGTCTTTTGTCTTTTTTCCGTGTCCGGCAACGGATCGCAACCCTCAGTGTTGCCACCGTACCGGACCGGGGACCGGCAACGGGATCGCAACCCTCGGTGTTGCCCCCGCGCCTCGCTCAGCCAGTGAGCGGGAGCCGGTCTGTATGTGGGACCCGAACCCTCGGACGGGAGAGCCGCCGCGCTTCCCAAGCGGTGCACTATCCAGTGCGCCACCGGGCCGGCCCCTAAAATCATTTATTAAAAATATTAAAGTTCATTTGACACAAACAGATCACATTTGAAAAACGAAAGCAAGATGCCTTTTTATGAAACTATGCAGTTTCATAAATAACTATGCAGTTATTTAGTTTGTAGGGCTATCTTTTATTTGTAAATTTGTTATGCATTTAAGTTCATCTAGAGTTTGGCAATCAAGGGCCTTCAGGATATAGGCCAACCTAATTATCTGCCCTCCCCTCCTAGTATTCTCCTACATTCTGCATTCTGTTAAAAACTGAACTGCTTATTAAACATACCCTAAAATTTCCTGCCTTTGTACCTTGGAATGTATTCTTCTTTTTGCCTAGACTACTTGGGTAGTATAGTGTAGTGATTTAAAAAAGATTCTGGAGCCATACTGCCTATGTTTGAATCTGGCACTACCACTTAAATAGGCCAAGAATATATATATAAACTAAGGAAAATTTAAGTAACAGTTTAGTAAAAACAATATATATTACTAAATCTTTTATTTGAGATTTGGTTATTAAGAAAATGAATTTACTATGCCCTTTGTTTTTCTTCCTCTCACTCTCTTTTGCTAGGTCACTGCCAATGGTGGCATTTTCTAGATAAAGCCTTTGATTTTCCCATATCAACTTGTGCTGTAGGATCTTCAAGGACAGAGGTGTGATTCGGGGATCCATCTTGGGACTAGCCCCAATGAGCTAAAGTGACAGACACTCCAGAACCAGCTCATTACCAAAACTTTGGAGCCAGTTAGGGACTAAAAATGTTCAACTAGGATGGCTCCAGACCCATGGCACTGAAGCAATATCAGTAACCATGGGATCAAGTCAGACTGGTTGAGAGGCTGGG